GCAGGATAATGATAGGTGTGAACCAACATGAAGATGATATCTACTCCCTCCAGCTGTTACTATAAGGGGCTAACAAACAGGTATTTTTTTAAAATAAATTATTTGTTTAGTTTCAAGGAGGGTTAAATACTTTTTAACCAGATATGCTTGTTGGCCAAAAACAAAACAAAAAATCAGATATGCCCATCTTTAGTAAAAGTGATAAGAGAATAAAAATTAATATGATGCCAGTAACAAATAAGCTATTGGTTAAGATGATAAATAATCTTATTGGTAAGACGGAAAATACAAACTCACATATTGGGAAGTGTATTTGTTAAGAGGGTCTTAACCCTCCCGATTTGACAGAGATTAGGCTAAACCTAGAGTAATTTAAAGATACTCTGACTTATATCAAAAACAAAAAAAATGATAATATTAACAATTACTTAAGTTTGATAACAAATTTAACTGTTTTTATCTGTGTGTGTAAATCAGTTGAAAATGACGAGGAGGAGGAGTAGATGTAAATACGGCGCAAGTTGGACGGAGTCCACAAAAGACAACGTCTAGGCTATAGCTCCCACTAATTTTGAATACGAATCAGTCTTAAACATACTTCTCCTGTCTTTAAGAACCTAATTAGAAAATTAATTTTGGTCTCAAATATAAAATTTATTTCTTATATTTACTAATTTTTTTCCTAAATTATCCCTATTAAATAATTAAATATCACAGTAATACTTATTACTCATTAATAATACATCTATATATTTAATAAAGTGAGTGAGTACTTATTACTCATTAATTCCACACATATATCAATTCTATCATTTTATATTTTTAATAAAATAATTTAAAATATTTTTTGAAATATCAGTTTTTTAAAGAAGTTTAAACTGAGGGTATTTTGAAAACATATGCTATATTTACTATTATTACATAATTTAACTAATTTTTTTAATTTAATCAAAATAGTTAAACAAATTTTATATTAAGCAGGTGGAGTACCAAATTTGCAGCCAATGGAGGCCGCTAACATATAAACCGAAACACTACAACACAACTGAATCACACATTAGAGATATATTGTACTGTTTTTCTACCACAAATCTAGCGAGCGAGCAAGCAATAACAAAAATATTAGGAGTCACTTCACTGATAAACACGAAATATATGGTGCAACGAAAACGACCCATGCAACCACTTCAACTTGAAGATGCATCCGTCTGCGCCCCCCCCCCCCCACCCAATCACGTCCACAGCAGCACTCAAGGGCGTTTTGCTCTTTCCTCTTCCTGAAAAGCTGGGTTTTTCTCCCCTACTCTCGCGGTCATGATGCCTCCTAATGGCTTTCAGGTCGTCCCTCCAATACTTCCTTCTTGCTTTGTCAATTCATCATACTTCTTTTGGAAGATCTCTACATGCCTGGAGATTTTCTCCTCGATGAAGGGGCCTATGTTCTTAACTGCTGCAATATTTTCAGGAGTTGCGTAACTTCCTCTACCTCCTAGCCCATAAGCAACCGTTAGCTTTGCTAATAGAGAGGTCAGGTACTTGTTCCTTCTGGGGCTCATATTGATGAAGTAAGTGGGATCAACCAACTTGGCATACTTCCAGTGGAGCTCTGTTTTCTCCTTGGCAGGGTCATCTAAGACCGTTCTTATATCGTGGATCATCCTAACGGCCTCTTCGGTTTCAGGACTGCTGATCCATGTTAAGAACTGATCAAGAGTAATGAACTTCAGATGCTTCATGAGATCTACAGATAATCGATATGCCTGCATCCCTGACAACTCCAAATGCTGAAATATCACGAATCTCATCAACCCATATGCTCGAGAACTACGCTCTCTACTCAGCTTCAGTTCGGTGACCCCTAAGTAGTATGCCAGTGATCCTCGCATAGCATTGTAAATCATCAGTCCAGTCTTCACCTTGCTTGCCCACGAGATCGGAAACTGGAGACTTGCCAACCATGTGGATCTAGTACCATACATCTGTGGATATGCAGATTTTATCCTCACTAATGCCTTGGTTATATGCTCTTGATCTTTAACTGCTAGTCTCATCAACACCATGGCAAAATAACTTATAGCTCGTGCTTGGCTCTCACCGCTCTCTTTGCTGAGAGTGGGCTGGGCTTGTGTTATCGGATTGACCTCTACACTTTGAACATTCAGTTGCTGATATGATGAGCCAGGGATGGGTGATGTACCAGGGGTTCCCTTCAAGGTCCCTTCGATTGGAGCTGAATCCATCTCGATAATATCATTACCGGAAGGATCCTTTATGTTGAAGCCGATGTTCATGATTGTATACAAGTGTTCTTCAGAAAATGTCCCCTCTTTGAAACTCTTCTCCACTTCACTCCATTTTGTCACGATTGTGGTCTCTGTCAGCTTGCTGGGCTTGTAATAAACAACTTTCTTCAAGAAATCATCATGGCTGTACTCGGTTTGAGGTGGCTTATACCATATTTCCGGTATAAGGAGGTCATCTGGTATAAGGAGGTCATCTAATGTCAGGATGGTTTCCATGGAGGGCGGTGTCCGTGTTGCTGGCTGGAACTGGTCGGTGTTTCCAAGGCATACAATTCTATATATTTATAAGATTCAGAAATCAAATAAGCGAAACAAAATTATGCGAATATATTAGCTCCCCTCCCAATTATGAGCCTATTATGTTGTGTTCTGGGGAAAAAAAGAAAGAAAGAAAAAGAGAGTGTTTCCTTCACTACTAAGTTACGTGCCGCCCAATTATCACACCCGGGCCCACTTCATCCACGCCACAGCTTCCATGTAAGGAACAAAAAACCGGACTGGTCACTGAACTAGTTGAGACAGTGAGTTAAAGATCAGTGGATCAAATCAGGATCTAATTGGAGTCAGACCGGTCATATTAAAATAATATAATTTAATTAATAATAACAAAATATAACAATATTTATAAATAATAATTAGTAATAATTCATATTTAATTGTACCAATTAACATTACCAAAATACGCATCTATTTTAAATGTTAATTTTTTCATGTTATTTTTAGATGTCTGAGACAAAAATCTGATGCACTATGTTAAAATATATCTCTTTTTTTTTAAAAATTTTTTTTACTCTTGCTTCTCTCTTCTTTTTTCTTCTCTTTCCCACATGACCGCTCTTTATTTTTCCCTTCATAAGACGCATGGCAGCTTTCCTCTTTCTTCCTTGAACAACGAACAAGCAGGAATCACAATGGGGTAGCTTGCTCTTAAAGCACACATCACGGTTCCCCGTTCCCCTTTTCCAGCTAAAGTTTTTTTCGCCTCAGTATCTTCCTTCTTGTCTTCTAATCTTCTAGTTTCTCCTCCCTCTCAGTTTTTTCCCTTGCACAGCTTCAACAACAAATCAGTCTCTATGATGAAACCTGGGATGTTGAATCATCTTCTTATTTTTCTTCCATGCTTTTTAGTTTCCAGGCTAAAATGCTTCTTCACTTCATTTTTTAGCATATTCAAGAGTTCTCTTATAATAATGTTTGTTCAGCATATCTCTCTTTATCTTTCTCTTCCTCTTCCTTCTTTTTTTTCCTTTCCAGGCAAACCTTTTTTTTTCCCCAATTTGTACATTTTTAAAAGGCAACAAAGTTTAAACCGGGTAACCTACCCCAACAGGTGGTTACCCGGTTTAACACTGGTTAAACTGGTTTGTCACCAGTTTATTCCATCACCGGTCTAACAAGTGAACCTGACCAAACTGAACATCAATTCATCGGTTTTTCAGTTGAACCGGCCGGTCCGGTCTTTTTTTTAATCATGTTCCTGCATCTTGTGTACCGCATACATGAGTGAGGATATATGAATCTTTATTATTTTTTTAATCACAAATTCACAATCCTTTTTCAGTGATACAACATGTATTAATTTTCATAAGAAAACGATGATTTTCACGTCACCGCATCGCATAATGGCACTATTTTTTAACTTCATTTTTACACCTGCCCCGAGTTTAATATTAAATTTGATCATAAAATGGAAAAAAAAGAAGAAGAAGTTAAGGGGCATCATTATCTTCAAATATTTTCTCGAACTAGTCTCCTTAAAATATTTTGTATTACATTTAACACCTTGAAATATTTTTTTAAATACGTTTAATACTGTGAAGTATTTTTTTGTGTGTATCTAGTACCTTAAAATATTTTTTTAGATGCGTCTAGTATCAAAAAAAATTTTGCACATCCCAAAAGGCAAAAAAATTACTTAAGGGTGTTGAACGCACCTAAAAAATATTTCAGAGTGTTGGATGTATCACAAAATACATTGAGATATTAGATGCACTTGAAAAAATATTTCAGAATGTTGGATGTGCCTTAACCCAAATAAAAATATAATTATTTAATTAGATTTAGCCCAAATAAAAGGGAAAATTGCATTGAGGTTTTATCAAAGAGAATTAAATATAAAAAAAAGCTCTTTGAAGTCATCAAATTAATCTAAAGTCTCAAAAGACCTCATTACAAGAGATTTTACTTATTCTATTATTAGATCGCTCTCATCTTTTTTTCTTTTTAAAAATACACATTGACAATTAAAAAGGTAGTTGTTACCAACTTAAAGTTAACAACTATCGCAACAATTATATTAACAACCCATATATTAAATCTTTGTGATATGTTAGAAAAATATGTTGTTAATACCTATTGCAATAATTACTAGTCGTTGCACCTTAAATTGTTGACGATTGTCTTTTTAGTTGTCAATTTATACTTAAAAAAATGAGAGCAATTTAATAATTAAATAAGTGAAATATCTTGCAACGAGAGTCCTTGAAATTTCACATTAATTTGATAATTTCAAGAGATTTTTTATTTAATTATTATTTTTATTTAGTTCTTTTGGATGTTACCTTAATGCAAATTTTTCCAAATAAAAACGACACAATTAACATCGCGCACCAAAAGCAAGCCCCTCCAAAACCAGAGATTTGTTCCTTTCTATTTTAAGATGGGCCTAGGTTCCAAGAGAATAGAAGAACTCTTCTTGGAGGCCCAAAAGTAGTTTCATTGTTGTTCAGAGTTTTCCCTAGAACGTCGGCAATGTCGAAATTTTAGACTCCCGGCAATCTTCGCGGCTCTCAGGTCCCAATCCAGAATCCCCAGACATCCTCGTTAAACATTGAACATAACGACGGCGAATGTAACAAAGGTAACATCCTCTTCTTTCCCTGACCCACTCTCTTTCTTTCAATGTCTATTTTTCTTTTCACTCTGACTTTTGCACAGGCGCACTGCAAGTCAACGCTCCTGGCTCCATCCCCCAAACACAGGTATCCTCCATGCTCCAGTTATGATTTTTCAGCGGCCTCATTTCACTGTCCGCTCTATTAATTTTTGCACTTTCTCTTCATACTCTGATTTCCCACTTTATTTCTTCCGCCTCATCGACTCGAACTAATTCTAATGTTTCAGTTTTGAGTCGAATTCAAGTAAATTGGGGAAATAATTTGTTCGCCACTAGATTTATTCTAAACCAAAGTAAATAAAAAAATGGTGGTTGAAGAAGTAAACGGGACCGACTAGACCAGTAGGCAATTAAATTGTGTTTCGTTGTTGGGTGGAATGTGAGGAACGTGACTTATTTTTAGTCAATTTCAAATGCAGTGATGTTCCATTACATTAGCAACAGCAGCTCTCTGCATTTTGTTTCATCTTCGACCTTAGGCACTAGCCGTTACGTGATCCTTAAAATCCACTAATGCTATTGCGGTGGATGTGGAGTTCAGCAAAACATATTTCCCTAGAGTTTGCGAAACAAGTAAAACTTGTATTTGGCTCCCAGATGTGGCCCTTATAATTGGAACTTGGAAAGAGCGGTGGGTTGATGGTCACTTCGTGCTCGGCTTCCGTTTTCTCTTCCTTTTTGTAATTTCTAATATCTTCCATCATAGCTAGATAATCAAATTTTGATTACACTTGCTTTTGAAATGAACTGAAGGCCTGGTCTGACTTTTGGCAGGTCGTTACTTGGTGTTTTTATCTGATAATTTGTTTGCACGAGGAGCGCAACTTGCATGCAGAAATTAGAGAAAGCCCATACTAAAGGGGATGGATCCAAGTCCCTGGCAGAGACGCTGGCGAGATGGAAACAATATAACGCCCAGATTGATTCTTGCAATGACGCAGATAAGCCAATTCGGAAAGTTCCTGCCAAAGGATCAAAGAAGGGATGTATGAAAGGTAAAGGAGGGCCCGAGAACTCTCGTTGTAACTATAGGGGCGTGAGGCAGAGGACATGGGGCAAGTGGGTCGCTGAAATTCGAGAGCCAAACAGAGGAAATAGGCTCTGGTTGGGCACATTTCCCACTGCCATTGGAGCTGCTCTTGCCTATGATGAAGCAGCAAGAGCAATGTATGGTTCTTTAGCTCGCCTTAACTTTCCCAATGTTTCAGTCTCCAATTTTTCTAATGAATCTTCAAGAGATGCACCAGTTGCAAGTCAATCTGATTCTAAAGTGCCAGCTGAGTCTGTGACATCCCCGATCAATTCCGGCTTTGTTGAGTTGGACAGTGCTGACAAGAAACCTCTTCCCTTGAATGTAAAAGTTGAGGAAGGGGAAGTTGAATTGAGGATCAATTCATCTGCGCTTTCATGATGTATATTATGCACATTTATATTTGGATGTGTCTAGAAATCATAGCTTCTGCACCCGGTGGTTAACATAGGATGAATGAGTTTTGATATTTGTACCTGGAACTTGCTGTTGTAGAATGTAAACTATCCAAAATTTCTAAGCTACACTGGATTCCAGCCCCTTTTCTTAACGCGAAATAAAATTACTTTCTCAAGTGGCTATTCATGCAGCCCGAACTGGATAACGTTTGACCCAAAGAAAAGGGAAGAATGAATTGCTTGAGTATACATGAGGTGGTTGTATAGGAGTGCAATAGTACCTTTTTCAGTGAAACTTGAGACTGAAGCGAAGCTGGAAAGTGAGAACGTGCAAGTGTTTGTGCAAAGGAGGTTGAAGAACAAGGAATATGAAATTGTGAATTTTGGAAGCTTAGCTTGCAAAAGGAGGAAGGGGTTAATGGCAACGAAGGACAATCAGCAAAGAGAGATACGGTCTCCTCTCACTACTTCAAACCAATTTTAAGGTAACTACTTAGCATTGCGCGGTGGAATCTGAGTAGCTTATCATTAATGGGAAACCAAATGATCGCGTGAGAGACAGGGAAAGCGCCTATTTAAATTGAATTAGCTAAGAGCGATCAGATTGGTTTGCAATCACGAGCATCATCCGAGGTTATATCATTGAGTGCACAATGGCTGGCAACCTTAGAAGTTGCGTCAACGTGAACAACCGACGTACCGTGGTTGTAGCTGCATGGTATTTTGACTTTTTTTAGCCTCGGAGTTCGTTGAAATCTTCCCCTGATTGGGACATTATCTTCGTTGACCGGAGCAGCGCTTCATTATTATAATTTATAGACTCACCAGCTGGCCTCTGCTCTGCCGCCCCAAGATTCTGCACAAAATCCCTCCGCCCTCCTTTCGACTTATTCCATTGATACTCCCTCTAGTCCTAGTGCAACGTTAATCAATTTCACAATTCTTAAGAAGTGCCATTTGAGACATCCATAAGCATATTTGGAAACTTTGTTCTAATGAAAGAATAATCCAACATAAATAAAATTATGCTTTAAAAAAAAATGAAACGAGTGGTATTTTAGAGATAGATAAATAAATTTGCCATTCACAAAAGATATTTTGGTGAAATTCATATTACATTTTCAATTTTTTACGCTGACTTCGGAAATGATTTATAAGCATAATTAATTTAATTCCTTAATCTTCCAACAATCATTCATAAGGTTTGACAGAGGCAAGGGCAGGTAACCTCATGTCACTTCACAAATTAATGCGAACTACTTTCCTGATAAATGAATAACTGGTACCCACTCTCCTTTACAGCCTTCTAGCTTTGACGATGACGCGGTCAAATGACCGAAATACCAGTCTTATCACCTTCCTGAATTGATTTATGCACCTGCTAATTACCGGTTTTGTATTAAAATGTAGTACCCAGTGACAACCCGTCTGTTTTTTTCCTCTAAACTCGGGGGAAATTAGGATTGGATCACTTTTCTCAGAAGTCTTGATCAGTTGAAAAGCCGAGCAAAACTTCATGTTTGAATTTGAAGACACAGCTAGTGGGGAAGCTGTTCATAGTTAATCCCAAAACCAAACTCAAGCCCTTTTCACAGCTCACTTATAATGCATGGGACCCATTTCTCTGCTATAAAACGCACATCAGATGCAACCTCCTCCACAAGAAATTTGAACCTACTACAGGTTCCCTGGCAAAATCTCGCCTGTGCTTCGTTTCACACTAATCCTCTCAAAAGCTCAAGTCCTGAAACTCGGTTTTGTCCCGAAGCATCCTGCATCAGGCATAACCAATATAAACTTCTTAGTTCGAACTCCATAATGAGGAGCAGGCTTGGTTGGGTATTTCTTCTAGCTGCTTTAATATGGGTGCTTCAGGCCAAGGCAGATGAGTCTGAGTCGGCAGGGCTTAAAACAGCGACAGGAGTTGAACAGCATTACAAGACTGATAAAACTGCTGATCAGCCAGTTGCTGGGGCTACAGAGTCGTCACAAGCAGCTGAAGCTCCAATTATTAGACGGCTGGGAAAGCATCATTCTACAGACAAGTCTATGGCCGGTGGAGGTGTCATTATAGGTGGCCTTGTTACTGCCGTGTTTGCTGCAGTTTTCTGCTACATAAGGGTCACTGGAAGAAAGGACGCTGCTCACTGACCTTCCCTTGCACACTTTCTTCACATTTAGTCCAGGAAGCAAAACACTGATTTTAGAAACAAGGACGTTAAGAGTGCCATCACAAAATCATATTTCTGATCATTGTTTACCATACGTTGTTAATATAAAGTTGAGATTCATGTTCCCTGTTTTCCTTTATCTTCTCTGCAAGTGAGTTTGCCCTCGTCTAATATTTACTTTGACTGCTACATTCTCAATCCTCTTGTTTGTTTTAGTTCTCCAAGATGCCGGGAATTGGGAGATGGGAGACTAGTGCTCTTTTACCCCAGTTAGCTGTTTCCATTACAGTTTACAAATATCTAATTTTGAGGCTTCTGCCAAAATAGGAATATAATTTTGGTTGAGCACAAAGGTTCTACAAGTTCGCAATACAGCCAGCTGCTTGTGAATTATGAGTTGTGACTGACGGTTGTAGCATCCGCTATTGCGGTAATTAACCACTGCTAATAATAATACTCCCCTTGTCCTGTTTCAACATGTTTCACACAGATTAAAAAAATTTTTTAAATTTTGTTAACTCTCATTTAAAATTTAATAAATTTTTAATTTTATCCTTATTTAATATACATTTTATCTCATACAAACAAAGTCAACACAATAATAAATAAAGGGTAAAATTATACATCTATATAAAAAATTTCTCTCAATATCTTATAAATAAGATCAAAAAATATTTCTTATAAATAAGATGGATAAGTAATAATTTCAGAAGCATTTATTATTATTTAATTATGACTTTTCAACACAATCAATGACGTAGAACTTTACAGTGTGCACTGGGTGGATCATTTGTACTTCAGTCTTTCAGACTACCTGTACAAACAAGACTGTGACCAAGTCTCGTTTCTCTATTTTTCCCGCCAGAGAAACAGAACAAACAACTCATCAGAAAATTAAACCCGCGGCTCCTTCTGCTACATTTCCCTGATAGTATCTTCATCGAGGTTCAATGGCTTCCTGTTGTACGCGTTGGTGTTCAGTCTACTTTCTCCTCTCCGTAACACTGGCGATAATGGCGATTTCCATGGCGGGGCATTTTATTTCGAGCAACTCAGACCAAGAAGCCATCTTGTTTGCCCATGAAGTCTCAGTGAATGCCTCCAATGCCCTCCGACGATCGGGATTCAATGTTATGGCTGACCTTTTCCAACGGTCTCCTCCATTCTTCCTTCCTCCGCAGAACTCAACCTTGTTTGCCATCAGAGACTCTGCTCTCAGGAACACCTCTCTCCCTCCATCGCTATTGAGAAAGATCCTTCAGTTCCATACCTCTACCTCCATGGCTTCGATGGAAGACCTGTTGGAGAAGCCCCAAGGGAGTTGCATTCCAACCCTGTTTCGTCACAAGAATGTAGCGATCACCAAGGTAGATCCGAGAGAAAGATTAGTCGAGATCAATCACGCGTTGATATCAAGCCCTGATATGTACCTGGGAAACCAAATTGCAATTCATGGGGTTCTTGCACCATTTTCTTCCGTCGATTTTCAGGATTTGAGCAAGGGCTGGGAGTTTGTTCCCTCGGCTTCTTGTCGTTCGAACTCTGGACAATATTCTGCGTTTTATGAATCCGAGGACAAGGTTGGCTGGAACCGGATTGTTCAGTTGCTCAGCTCAAACGGGTATGCTTCGTTTTCGATTGGATTGCATTCTGTTCTTGAGCGGATACGAACAGATTCAACGAGTTTTGAATCTGTCACAATCTTGGCTCCTCCAGATTTGGCATTACTGGGGAGTCCATCATCTTTGCTTGACAGGGCTGTGAGGCTACATATACTGCCACAAAGACTGACATACAGAGAACTCGCTTCACTCCCGACTAGGACTCTGGTGAAGACACTCATTTCTGACGAATATCTTGAAATTGAAGGAGTTCCAGATTTCATATCAATGTTGGTCATCAACGGTGTGGAAATTGTGGCGCCTGACATTTCAATTTCTGACAAGTTCGTAATTCATGGAATTTCTGAAGCTTTGAAGATGGATGCGCTTATCACCACATGAAGATGGAAGGTCAACGGTTGGCCAAGATGTCTATACACACACAAGGACCTGGGGGGAAACAAATTGATTCTCTCTTCTTTACACATGTAGATATTTTCAATTCATTGAAACGTTTCCTAGTTGAGGGAAGTTAGGTTGGATCAAGTTTCCCTTGCGGTATCCGGGGAAAAAGCGGTTAATATCAAATGCAACTGTAAGTACCTCAACAGTCTAATAATCTTTGAGTTCGAACGAAGTTTATTACTCTCAGAGTTCCAATTCTCGTTCTGCATCATGAAAATAGTCTCATGAACAGTCAATACGGTAGTGGAGTTAGGTACGATCAAATTCCAAATAACAGCCGGGCCATCTTGTTTTTTTTTTTTTGGTAAACAAGAGGGCAGGAGCCCAAAAACTAAAACAGCAAACTAATGGGGATTATATCCCAAACACTCATCTTCAAACAAGGTCCTCAAATGAGGAGGACACGAATCAAAAAGAGAGGAGTTAGATAAGCCTCCTTTTGCCAACGAATCTGCAAGTTGATTCTGCTCCCTTGGGATGTTCCGTATTTCCAGATCCCAGTCATTCTTCATGAACTCTCTTATTTGGAGACAAAGTAGGCTCTCCGTATTGATGCCTTTTTTCTTCAACAAATCAATTGATATTTTGGAATCAGATTCCAAAATCACCTTCTTGAACCCAAGATCCCAGGCTAATTTAATTCGAGAGACGATGGTCGTATACGTGGACTCCGTCGGTGGACGTAGCCATCCTCTCATGGCCTATTTTGAAAAGGCCCAAATCCGAATATGTCTTCAGAAATTGAAGTCTCGTTGATGGATTAAAGGTGGAGAGTGGAGACACGAGTTGTCAATTATCTGGCGCATATTATTTTGCCTTTTTTTTTTTCAGGGCAACACATTTTATTTAATTTTCTTCTCAACAGATCATTAGTACTTTTATCATGATAATGATTAAAACATATTAAAACGTGATTTTTTTTATATATTATTTATTCTACAACAAACTCTTGCTGATCATATTTATTAATGTTTTTTATCTACTTATTTTAATTTAATTGGACAAATGTATACTCCTTAGCTCTTATTTATATAACACTTTCAATATATTTTACACAGACCAAGAAAAATTTTAAAATGCATTAGCTTTCTATTAAAATATAACAATTTTTTAACTTTACTCATATTTAATATGTACACCTTTCAAAAGAGATAGCTACCTACACTATAATAAGTAAAAGACAAAATAGTTTATTTACGCTGAAAATTTAATGAGATGAATTATAAATAGGATAAAAAAACATTCTCTTTCTGTCTTATAAATAATAGGAGAGGGTACAACGCATATAAGACCAAATACGTAAGTCTTCTCCTATTGATTTGGGATACTGAGGAATCCACTCTCCTTTGTGTGTGTATATATTATTCGTGCTCCGAAATAAAAAAATAGGGACTGGAAACTCGTATTGACATCTCAGCCCCTTTTAATTAGAACTTGTAAATAAGAATTAAGAATTACAGAAATGCAGGTACCGAGTCTTCAGAGTAATTTGATGAGTTTCGTGATCTACAAAACAGAAAAATTCAAGTCTTAACAAACTTTGGATCCCATAACCGAGTTTGCTCCTTGAAAAGTTCAAATCTGAGCGACTCAAAGCATAAAGAAACGAAGCAAAGGAGGGGAGAGGAAATGCAATTAATGCATCCATGGAAACGAGATCGACAAAACGCAGGAGGATTTCTGAGTTATTGGAGAATGACGACGTCGAAACTAAGATCGATCGCCTCAGTGATCTTCCCGATGCCCTCTTCACCAAATCTGTCTCCTTCTCCCCATCAAAACCGTTGCACAAACCAGTGTTCTATCAAAGAGATGGAGGTCCCTTTGGATCACCTATCCCGATCTCGACTTCACGACTCTCGAATCCTTGCGCGTTTCTTCAATCAAACACTTGGAGCCTCATCTTTTGACCGCCACTCAATCGCGTATCATCAGCCAAGTTCTCTCTATTCGTGACAAAAACGCGGACATTAGGGTTCTTCGTTTTCGTGCCACCATAAGTTTCTCCCTATTAAATAGTTTAATCCGTAACGCCATCAGGCAGAACGTTAGACAGCTTGAAGTCGAGGTGGGTACAAAAGATTATTTCAACTTTCCCAGGTGTGTGATTGGTAGTGAAAGTTTAAGGGTATTGAAATTAAAATCGCGTTATCCAGGTTTTCGCTTGCCTCCGGCTTCTATTGTGAAGGATGGCTTCAAGTCTCTCCAAACATTGTCTCTCTCTCTTGTTATTTTGTACAACCAACCATTTCTCTCTGATTTGTTTTCTGATTCGTCATTTCCATCCCTAAAGAAGTTGCGCCTTCGTGCGTGCGTTGGATTGAAATCCCTTCATGTTGGCTGTCGAGTTCTCGAAGATTTGAGCTTAAAAAACTGTTTTCATCTGCAAAGTTTGGACGTGTCATGTGCAATACTAGAAAAGCTTAGAGTAGTGGATTGTTTCAATTCGTATAGCGAGAAGAGCTGGGTAAGGATTAATGCACCGAGGCTTCAACATTTAATTTGGGATTACAATAGAGTGACTGACATGACGATTATTGAGCATTCGAAATTTCTGCGTGAGGCCTCAATAGGTTTCTTCATATTACCTAAAGAATTTAGCATGGGCAAGCTTTTAAGTGTCCACAATTTGTTGTCTGGACTATCTCTGGCTCATTCCTTGACTCTCGAAAGTCAGTCCGTTGAGGTAATTTTTGACATTAATTCTCTTTGGGCATAAATTAGCCAAGTCTTAATTTTCTATTTTTCTTAACTCTTTTATGTACGTATGAGCTAGTGTGCATATAAACCAACTTTAGGTTAATTAGCTTCTATCGACAAAACTGGTTCTTTGTCTATGATAACTTACAAGATGTGGCTATATAAATTGGAGAGAAAACAGCTATAGCTAGCCAAAGTGACCGGAAGCGTTAGATGATATAATTTAATTTGTTTGGCCCATAATTCATCATATATATTTTTTATTTTTTAATATTCTTACATTCCTCTATTC